GCTCTTCTTTCAGGTAACTTGGAATCTGCCTACACAGCAAATGACAACCTTGAAAGAGGGCACCACAAAATTAACCTTTAATTAAAAAAAAAACAAAACAACCAAGAAGTCAGTTTCCATTTTTTACCCTTGATATCCTGAATATTTTGTGCTTGACACACTTTTTTACCCCAAGATTCAAAACCCAGGCTGCTGATACTATGAGTTTTTACACTTTTCTCTCATTATCACTGATTCAAGATTAAATAAAAGCTCAGTGCAAAGAAGTTTCTCAGTTTTCAGAGCAGCATTCAGGAATACCATACCAGGTGTGTTCAGCGAGTAGTTGCTGCCACCTATTGGGTTTGCCAGGAAAACAGGTTCTCAACTGAGGAACACGGTAAAAATTACTGCGACGGCAAGAGGTTTGCTAATGGTGTGGCTCTCGAGTACCTGCTTTGTGGGGCTTCATTACTTTTTTTTTAGTTACACACTATAGCCCTGTATTCAGGTATGCACATTCACAGTAAAGTTTTCAATACAAAATAAATAAAGAAGAATATGGAGACTGTCTTATGCCAAATGCCACACCAGGATATCCACAGAATGGATAAGAAGGGACCTTAAAGATCCTCTAGGTCCAACCCCTTGCATGGGCAGGGACACCTCCCACTGGACTAGGTTGCTTAGAGCCCCATCCAATCAGACCTTGAACGTTCTTCCAATTGTCTAACCTAAATCTCCCCTCCTCCAGTTTTAATCAGTTACCTCTTGTGAAGGACCAGGTATTTCCTTACACGAACATGAAATGTCCTTTGAGTCAGCCGACAAAACTGACTTAACACGGCGTCTCCACACAGCGCTGAACCCCCTCTGTGTGTGTGTGGGGGGGGGAGCAGCTGCTGCAGGGGAGGAGCCGTCGCCGGAAGCAGGGGCGGGACTAGGTCCCGTCTGATTGGCTGAAAAGCCCGGAAATGCAAAACTGGCGCCGAAGAACCCCATGAGAGAGGCAGCGCGACACGCCCCTCTCTCTCTCTC